GGTAAATATGCCAAGGTCGAAGTGCACAATAGCTTACTAGTACTTTGGTAAGTTCTGATCACTAATTGTTTTTGCCCATTCTATACTATAGCTCCAATATGGGGCCGAATTATTGAGGCGTTAATATATGCAGAAAGCCGACCGACCAGACAAAGAAATCTGTACATTGCTAGTTGTCAAGAATATTGTCTCTATGGTAATGTCATTTCAAGTTGGTGGTGAAACAAATACACCGACGCAAAGTACAAAATATTTATATAATATGTTTTTGTTATTTCTATTTATTGTACTAGTATGTTACTGCAGTTAAAATTCGCAGTTTGCCCAACCAAGAATCGAGGTTAAAAATACCCTCGCCCTCGGTCGGAAAAATACTGCAAAGCATTACAATCTCTCTTAGTTAAACCAAGGGTTAAACAAACAAAACTCGTTATGATCACTACTTCCACAAAGTCTTAGCTTTCAGTAGAAATTTCAAAATTGCACGTTATCTGCACTCCTAGGCCCGGGTTATAATTTGGCATCCAAAACAGAACACTGCAAATCTACAGACTATTGCGCATGGTAGTTTTATGATCTTCAGCTATTTTTTTTTCACAACATCGTTTTGCAAATTTTATCGTATGCTCTATTCCGGCGTCCATTATTGCTTTCCTGACTTACCAATAGTACACACCAAAATGTATCAGGCGTTCAAGCCATTTTTACCCACAGAATTCACATAATCAATTTTTTTTATTTGTTATAAACTTCGGGATACACTTAAGACCGCTTTCATACCAAGCTTTGCATATAATATCCTGCTAGAATAATGTGGTTTAGCCTTGGGCGGACGCAAAATATTTTGCTCTGTATAAGGGTTATATCAAGGACATAATGTCATTGGTTATATCCAAAAGTCCCCTACCGATGTGGTAAGAACATCGCAATAGATGCACACAAACTCAAGAAAACTGCGTGTGTAGATTGCTGTGTGACAGGGAGTGTGTGCATTCTATTTTCCTAGGATAAATGCTGCCACATGTAATTAAAGGCACCTTTTAGCTTTCCATTGTGACGATAATTGGTTAGGACACGGAAGGTTTCAACAGTGAGAAACCTTGTGCACTTCGCGTGACCCATTGTGTGGCACAAGTCTCAAACTTTGGATACGCCAGTATGGCACACGAGTGGAAACTCATGTACGCGCCAATGACACGTCAGGTTTCACCAATGTGTCCAAGCAAGTAAACTTCTGGAAATCTGTGGCTATCCGTGTAGTGTCAGTGGTTACGCCTGCCAAGAAGGGCAGGTTAGAAACAGTCCTCTTAATCCCTCTGTTTATCCCCATGTTAATACCACGTGGTTTGCCGTTGGATATGTAAGTATGGTTTTGCATATCAGGCTGCCTCTGATTGGTGAATGCTATTCGATGTACCAGCCAATCACCAGACAGCATAAATTATTGACACCCTGATTGGTGAATGCTATTCGATGTACCAGCCAATCACCAGACAGCATAAATTATTGACACCTTTACATAAGTTGGTGTCCTTTCGGGAGGTGCTCACTTCATTCTATTCTTGTTTCTGCTATACACTGGTCATCGAGGTGATCATTGAGGTAAGATACATTCACCACGTTCGGTCCTGTTTAATAGGTTAAGGTTAGTAAGGTATGTAAGTTTTTAGTTTAACCTCCTTGGTTTAACAAGATTTTGGTTTATGGATACCTAACGTTAAACCGTATTGCGCTATGTAGTACACTGAGTTTTATTGTTTTTTTTTTTTACTACGAGTGTCTGTTTAAATAAATTTCGTTGCCTAATTATCTTATTCAGGTGCAGATGATGCGATTTCCTTTTTTTGAATGTGTATTTTTTGGCGTCCCGGCAAAACAAGGCAGAGGTCGAAAGATGGGGGTCAGCTAAATCGGTTCTTGTTTGATGTTGAGGGTCTCTGATGGGGGTCCCAGGACACGGTAACGAAAAATAGCTGGCGAGTTTTAACTATATGGCTGTTCGCAATTCCTCATACCTATCAAACGTACAAAGTATGAACCGTTGAAATGTATACCATTATACTTGTGATAAAGGTATGGACATGGGGTTTCTTTTACCGTATAGCATGGGTCTCCTACTTGTAAAAAAACAAAGGTTCAAGATGCAGCCTTGAAATTAAAGGGTTTGCCAAGGGCTTACCAGAACCAACGAAAACAAAACTTTCATCTCTCTAAATTTTTAGTCATTTTCAAGGAGCTTTTTCTCCCATACGCGGCAATTTTGATTAATTGTTTACCTTTGCTGGAATGAGCAACATCTACTGATTTAAAAAACAGGCGTTTTATAATTGGAATACACATAACACGAGCCTTTATTGAGATTTTTCAGGTTGTCAACTATAATATTAAAATCAGGTAATGGCGTCTCTCTACGGGGAAAAATGTTTTGTGTAGCTGTATGGAAGCAATGCATAATTGTTGGAAAATGATACAAATTAGAAAGGCCGACATTTGCTCGGCAGCAAACGCAGCAGATGGCTTCACCATATCCCCATACCAAAATGGACCTATCTCCCTCCCACACAATTTAATTGTTATTATTAATTTCATTTATTACATATTAATGATAATTAATTATATTAATTATTTTGATATAATAATTATTATATGTAGCAGCTATGAGAACAGAGATGCAAGAACAAGCACTTTGAATCTCGACAGCTTTACTTACAAAAATTTCACATCACTCTTATCGCACAATTTTATTGCAGGTATGCAAATACTAACAATGATGAGATTTGATACATTTTGAAGGTCTAATTGTAAAGAAAAGGAAACTAATACTTGACTATATAATGATATATTGATACTATACATGCACACAAATTGAACTTTACATTAATTAGATACACTGTGACACTATACATATATATTGAATAAGATGTACAACAGCGTAAACTTCAACGTAATTACGGCAGAGTCAAAACGCACTCACGGCTCAATTACGATCGTGCTTACGCCGTGTTTACGTATTGGTCCGGCACAAGATTCGGTACCGGCAGCTCATTATAGCTAATCAAGTCGATAATGAGCCGGCGTGGCATTTGGAGCTCCAAAGAATTGATTTTGTGTCCGTATATGCCCGTATTGGGAACGTTTCCGGAGAATACCCGGACATGTCGTGACACTGCCATGCTGCATATCCTGAAAATATTCGGAACCAGTTTGGGATATCAAGCGTTGTCGGACAAATCCAGGTCCGAATTCATTCCGAATATGCCCCATTTCAATACCAGTATTCGGAGCTGATACGCGCCTGACAGCCCCCGTATCCCGAAGATATTCAGAACTGGAAACGGGAAGATATTACAACGTGTCATATACATAACCCCGAATATGCCACGTTTTTGTACAGTCCGTATTTGTTCCGAATATGCCGCGTTTCCTGAACAATATTTGGAACAGGTACGCCTGAGATCCATCCTTGTTAGCTGTATGTCCGCTCCCCATACTCACTTCCCTGCAAAGGCGGGGTGGGACTATCAGGAGGACATATAGCTAACAAGGCTGGATCTTATTTAGGCTACCAGCCTGGCAGGCTACCCATCCTGAGAGTAAAAACATGCAAAGGCCCCATTGATCAAACGGTGATGACGTATTTCCACAGCTTATGTCCTTTAATCTGTTTCCGAATATACCAGGTTTTCTCAGTACGTAAAGCTAGTCTCCATGTTAAGTTGCCTAACAACAGCTACTGTGAAAAATGCACTGTATTCAAGTTTTCTCAGTACAAAATGCTAGTCTCATATCTAATAAGATCTATAACAATGTCGCTTTGACAATGCACCAACTGTGTACATGTATTATAAACTATCCAGTCAACTAGCGCGATCCATGATGTCCGTTGAAGTTCGTGGCAGTGTTGAAATTTTGGAAAATCCGTCGAAGTTTCTCCGAGACTCCTTGGATGTATGGAATGTTGATGTTGGCCTTGTTTCTGTCGGTTAGCGGTTTGCTCTTGCGCGTTTTCTTAGAGTGGTCAGAGGGTTTGAGAGCTTTGTTGAAGGTCCACTTTTGGTAGCTACAGTTGGCTAAAGCCCCTTTGAGGTGTCTTTGTTCGTCAGTTTTGGCTTGGTCTGTGGTGATTATATTATCTGCCCGGTGGAAGAGTGTTTTTATCACCGCCAGTTTATGTTCCGAAGGATGGTGAGAATTAAAGGCCAGATGTTGATCTGTGTGAGTCGGTTTCCTGTATACCTCAAACTTAAGCTTGCCATCCTTCTCTATGATAGTTTTCGTGTCTAGGAATGGAAGCATGTTGTCATGACTCATCTCCTGTGTGAACTTGATGTTTTCATCTACATGGTTGATATGGTCAAAGAATTTGTCAGCTACTCTCTTCTTTAGTCCGCACCAAGTGCCATCTACATATCTAAACCAGTTGGCAGGAGGGGTGTCTTGGAAAGTACTGAGGGCTTTGCTTTCAAACTTCTCCATGTACAGATTTACTACAATGGGTGAAACTGGGGATCCCATAGCACAGCCATGCGTTTTTTGGAAGAACTGGTCTTTCTAGGTAAAGTAAGTGCATCCTAGGCAGAGGTCAAGCAGTTCACATAGTTGGCCAACTGATAGGTTGGTTCTGTCCGCTAGTGTGTTATCCGCCTCCAGGGCTTCTCTGACTACCGAAACTGCTTCTTTTGGAGGTATGCACGTGAACAGAGAACATATACGTCATAAGAAGCGATGATTTCATCTTCCTCTATATGGATGTCTTTGATCTTCTGGACAAAGTCTGCACTGTTCTTTACATGGTGTTGAGACTTTCCCACCAAAACTCCCAGAATCTTGGCTAGGAAGCCCGCTAACTTGTAGGTTACTGTTCCTATACTGGACACGATGGGTCGTAGAGGGACGCCCTGCTTGTGAACATTTAGGGGGCCGTAAAACGCTGGGGGTTGTTCTGAAGTGGGATTTAGTTTTAGGTACGTGGCACGGTCCAAAGCCAGCTCCTTTTCTAATTTCTTGAGAGAACCATGGATCTTTAATTCCCTTTGAATTTGTTGGTGGGGTCCTTTTTTAAAGCCGTGTAGGTGTCTTTGTCCCCCAAGAGGTCCTGTACTTTCTTGTCATACTGTTCCCTGTCTAAGACTACTGTGCATATGCCTTTGTCAGCTGGGAGGATCACTATGTCTTCACTCGTGGCCAAATCCTTGAGGGCGTTACGTTCTTCCCAGGTGATGTTACTTGTTGGGGGTTTAGAGACTTTCAGATTTGTGGCTTCTTTGGCGCGAAGGGCTTCGGCTTGTCTCTGTGGCAAACGGACACGGTAGATAGCTGACTCAGTTTCCGTGACAATGTCAATACTAGGAATCTTGTTGGGTGCTACTGCGAAGTTTAGACCTTTGGAAAGCAGTGACTTCTCTGCTTCAGTCAGTGGATGACTGCTAAGTTTTTTTTTACCCACTTCTCTGGTCTGGGTAGTGGCATTGGGATTGTTAGATCTCCAGTTTGGGTCACTGTCTGCTCTCGCCTCCCCCCCCCCTCCTTAGCTGTAGTTGTTCAAATTTGGTTTTCTGTCTGGTTTTACTCTTCTCGTGAGCCGAAAGTCATTGTGAGCCGTGAGCCAAACGGCTACTCCTCAGCCATTTACCACCACCTTCAACACAACCAGGGTCCTTCTTTCAATCTCGCCTCAACAGACATTCTGGATCGTGAACCCCGTTGGTTTGAGCGTGGAGTTAGAGAAGCCATGTATCTGTGTGCTTTTGACACCCGCTTTTCCGGCACATAACGCAACACAAACAAAAAAGGATGCTAAAATTTGTGCTAATACCTTGTGCATTCGTAGTCTTCTTTAAAAGCTTTATTTTCCATCAAAACCCCATACAATAAAAGTAACTAAAAACGCCCCTCAAAAAGGTAGGCCCGTTCGTTGCCATGGTAACGGACATAGGTACATGGCACAATTTGCATTCAAAATATGGGGGGTGATGTCCGAAAATGTATAGTCTTGAAATTTTTCCTCCTTGAATATTTTTCATTTCTATTTAGGATAGATCACTGGGATATACATGTAGTGTTGACCTACCAATGGGAGCCAGGCAGTCCCCTTGTGGGCGGGGGAATACCATATCCCGGTAAACTCGCCTAGCCCATGTCTATTACACATAGAACTGCAGTCCTACTAAAACCATCAAAATGCGAGACTTTTCAATTTCTAAAGAAGTCAAACTTCAAATCATTACACGAATATAGGTGCCTCAATACCGGTTGACGCTTGTTTACAGAAAGCGTTTTACTTCAACTGCAATCTTATTATCTTATTAAGTTCTACGAGTTAATCAAAACTATGTATCTGGGTAAAAACTTGAGAAGTTTTCACACATTCAATACTGATAGAATTGTACGGTAAGATTTTTATCCCTACCCGTCTTAACATTGTTATATATACTGTGTATCTTCCACGTTACACAATGTGCTTGTCTCCTGTCTCTAACGTCGTCAACGTGGTGATATTCGGATTACCCGAGACAAAAACTATATATATTTATATATATATTATATATATATATATATATGTATATTTTACAGTTAAGCCACCCCAAGAGACTATATATCTCTCAATGATATAAATTGGAATGATAATTTCTTATCACTAACGCTGGATAAAGAACATATGGTTGTACTGCGTAAATGTTTAGCCCGCTTCTGCCAGACGAATTTCATTTTAGTAAGTCTACCAATTTTTAATTTCAGATGGAGAACAGTGGAGATTATCTTATTGACATTTCCAACCAGCTAGCTGAGATAAATGAAAATCTTTTAGAAGTTATCGGAACTATTAAGAGTATCACCAAAAGTCAACTTGAAGTCCGAGCAAACGTGGAAAAGCTGAAGAATGTGACGGAAGACCAAGATCCCAAACCTGATGGTGATTCCTCATCCACCACTTGCAAGTTTCCCAAGGTACGTTTCTTGGGTCCGTTTTCTATTGTATTATATGTAAGTATAATTTTTTTTTAATGTCATAAGCACCAAAAGTGTCCAATGTTGTACTGCGTAAATGTTTAGCCCGCTTCTGTCATGTCAGATGAATTTCTAAACGATTTAAAATATTCGTTTTTAGTAAGTCTACCAATTTTTAATTTCAGATGGAGAACGGTGGAGATTATCTTATTGACATTTCCAACCAGCTAGCTGAGATAAGTGAAAATCTTTTAGAAGTTATGGAAGCTATTAAGAGTATCACCATTTTTCAACTTGAAATCCGAGCAAACGTGGAAAAGCTGAAGAATGTGACGGAAGACCAAGATCCCAAACCTGATGGTGATTCCTCATCCACCACTTGCAAGTTTCCTAAGGTACGTTTTTTGAGTCCGTTTTCTATTGTATTATATGTAAGTATTTAAACAACATCTGCAAATTGTTTTTTTTCATAAGCATTTTCTGCTAACAAAAGTGTCCAATGTTGTACTGCATAAATGTTTAGCCCGCTTCTGTTCGACAAATTTCTAAACGATTTAAAATATTCGTTTTTAGTAAGCCTACCAATCTTTAATTTCAGATCGAAAAGAGTGGAGATTATCTTATTGACATTCCCAACCAGCTAGCTGAAATAAATTAAAATCTTTCAAATGTTGTGGAAAGTATGACATGTTTCGCCGAAAGTCAACTTGAAATCTAAGCAAACGTGGAAAAGCTGAACGCGTACTTCTCAAAAACTGGACATTCCACTTTGACGAACGAACAGATACAAAAACTGTCATATTCCATACATAGTACACCTGTTGAACAAGTAAACAATCCTTTTAACCGAACAGTGCTCCTAGCTGGACACGAAATTGTACTCGCAATATGAAACTACATAAATAGTGAAGTTAGGTGGCTGAAATATGGTTTTTAAGATATAATAGTGATTTTAACTGGATATGAATATTGACCCTGTATGATTTTAATATTGAATGTAAAAAAATGGAGCTATTTATAGTGAATTCAACAAAATTCAGACTTATGCAAAATGTACAGTCTGCCAGTTGAATAATAAAGTTTCATTCATTCAGAATGAACGGAAGACGGAAGACCAAGATCCCAAGCCTGATGGTGATTCCTCACCCACCGCTTGCAAGTTTCCCAAGGTACGTTTCTTGAGTCCGTTCTCTCTTGCATTTTCTGCTAATTAAAGTCTCCAATCTCTTCTCTGGAAGCTCCAAAGAGAAAACATCTTCCTGTCTATGTACAAAAGTTCAACACACAGGGGAGACGCCTCAGTTGGCCTTCTTCATTGAAAAGCATGCAAAAAAAGACAAAAACAGGGCATCATATCTCATCTTTCAGAAGTTTTGGTGACACAAACTCACCTCCATGTGCTAGCCCTATTATTAATATGTACCTACAAGACTTTTCGGGAAATTCCGATCGGCCAGAGTCGAGGTATCGGTCTGTTTCTAAACATTGGTGCACTTTAACCCCAAATTTCAGGTCGATACCAACTGATGGGCAGGTGGATGTATGGCAACAGATAAGCCTAAAGTAGGCAATCTCATTTAAAAAAACTCCATTTTTTTGGCAAAAACATGAACTCAGAATCCTACACTATACAAATTCAACATTAAAATGCCAAAAAGTCAACAAAATTCAAACCCAAAAAGGGTTTTAAAGTTCTTTAGCTCATTTTCAATTTGACCACACTCACCGGACACCCTGTGCGTGTCTAAATAGGCCATCAGGTGGCTCATGTCAGAGCTAAATCCAGCAAAATCAGAAGAAATGTGCTTTTCGGTCAAGCGCGATCTTCAAGTTAACCCATTCCCTTTTCTGAACAACTTCATTATCAAATTTGTCTACACCTATATGCATGTTTGAGTAATCTCAAAAAGTTAAGTTCAACTACTTAAGCCATGGTCCCCATATCTCCTGTGTACACCTTGCACGCGCCTTTGCATTGGCAGAGACGACACAAATCGTGCAACCCCGAGAGCCTTTTTTTCTGCCGCGACATCGCCTATCCGTGGGAAATTTTCCTTCCCTACCCATCGAATCAAGTGCCACGAAGGTGCTAATTGAAAACACCATGATTTCTTTTCCAATATAGCAGGAAACTAGGGAGATAATTGCACCTAAAGCTGTTACATGACTCCCGCGAAAATTCACAGCTAGTGACCTCAGATCAAAACAAACCGCCCATTGCCATTGGTGCGTGATCCAAAAAAGGTCATCCAATGGCGTTTGGCATAGAATCTCATGAATATTAATTAATATCAAGTCATCATCACAAAACAGCCCAGGTGGCACCGGTCCCAGACTGGTGAGTAGCGACTGCGGGAGCACATGTACTGCACCTGTGCGAAACCTGTAATGTTTTGTGCACAACACTTCGGCAGAACGTCTGATATAAGGTTGTATTAGATCATATTAGGTTCAGAGCCTGACTGTAGTTTTCAAATGCTGTGTCGAAAAAGATATCTTATGCAAATTTCTGATGCAACATTGACCAAACACCCAATAAAACCGTGATAAATCAGGATTTTGCCCAATCGCAGTACGTTCTGCCGACGTGCTGACTGCTGGAGCGGAACGTAAACTAATCAGTACCTAGACTATGTTCAGGAAAAATGATGCAAAAACCGTTTTTTCTGCAGATCCAAGGTCGGCAAGCAGGAGGCCAATATTTGACTCTGACTTTTGCCTTCTAAAGACCTACCCACATACCAGATATCATTACAATCCACGAAGGTCTTTTTTATTCTTTGAATCAGGCCATTGTCCATATAAAAGTACAATAACAGACATACATAATACACATACACATACATGAATTACATACATAGGTTTTAAAAGTGTGGCTAGTACAGAGTCCGTGTAAAACACATCTGAGTGACAAAGCGTTTACACAAAGATATTGTTTGATGCCAGAAGGTATTACTTAATTATTAATTAATAAATTAATGAGAACATAGGCATCATAAGAAAAATAAGAAACCTCCTTCCACGTGCAATTTTCATGACTCTTTACTACAGTTTAATTTATCCATACTTATCATACTGCAATATTATATGGGCGAGCACTTACACAACATCCATCAAACCACTTTACCAACTACAAAAACGCTTTGTTAGAATAGCAGCAAATACACACTTCACAGCGCACTCAGCACCCCTGTTTAGCAAATTACAAGTCATAACTGTATATGACATCAACAAATTACAAACTGCGCTATTTGTCCACAAAATCGTAAATAATACCTCAGAACTACCCGTCCAATTCGAAAGTTTTTTTAAATCCAACTCGGACATTCACCAACACAATACAAGACAGCACAGCCAGTTAAGACCAGTCACAACTAAATCCACACAAAAACAATTCTCAATAATGTACAGAGGGCCTGTTATCTGGAATAATTTAAATCGTACATTAAAGGACTGTAAATCAATACCCAGCTTCAAAAAACAACTAAAAGAAAATTTCCTACTAAACCCCACTTACACTTGAACACATTATAATATGTTTGTTTTCCTTGTTTCCATCGTTTATTTCGTTCATTTTATGATAATTATTTGTTTTCTTCTTTAATTTACCTCATTACTTTCTTTTCGCAATAACTCAGCAATTTTGAATATGTATTGGTTAATTTCATTTAATAAGCTTATGTAAGAACCTCACGACGTTTTAGAATTACTTTTGTATTATTATTTAATTTCTTGCTTAAGTAATTATGTCTTAGTAGTACTCAATACAATTTATCATTTCTTTTGGGGGAGGCCCAGGATAAACCTTGTAGGTTTCAGGCCAACCCCAAATATTGTTTCAGTTGTATTATTTATGTAATTATGTTCTCATTTTTTTATGTGCAAAACAAACAAACAAACAAACAAAACAAGGTACGACACGAATGAGGAGGTGAGTTTACGCCACCTGGCGTCGAATGTGTCGATTCGTAACTTTACAAATAACTGACATTACTAGCCCACTTTGGTTGGCCCATCATCATTTTAAAAGCGTCATGGTATGCTTCCCTCAGACGCTTCAACATACCAGCACTGTGTCTAGACCACAGCTGCGAACAATACATAGATGCATAGTGAGACATGAAAAGGATGCTCTTCACCTCAGCTGTACAATTGCTGAATTTACGACATAGGGAGTTTGCTTTAGTATACAGTTGTCTTGTATTACGGATAGACGAATCATCGACTTATCTTTTGTATGGCTTTCGCTGATGGACAAATAAGGCAGATATCATCTGCGACATTGGTATTCTTTAGCTGCACACTAAGATCTGCCATGCAAATATTGAATAATGAGGCGGACAGTAAGCTCCCCTGGGGGACACGTTGTTGGGACTAAAGCAGCCAGACATGGTATTCCTCCAGTGCACTCTTCATGACAGGCTGCTTAACCAGCACAGAATGTTTCGTACCAAATAAACAGGCACTCCTCTTAGCATAAAATTTCATCTGTGTTGGTATATAACATTATGATAACAGGGTCAAACTTAACGTGACCAACACAAAGTAAGTTGGGACTTACCCTAAATTTTTGACCGACTTTGTCAGCCTTGTTCACGGAACGGAACCGTCTACTGCAGCTTCCGGGACGTCGGAAACACGTGGTTTCAGCAGAGGGTCATACGTAGCCTATGACGCCCCCCGTCTGTGTTCAGTGTTGAACGGTTGGCCCGAATGTACACCGCCCCCTTTACTCCTCTCTCAAAGAAACCCGGTTCTGTGTCCAGGATTTTCACTTTATCTAGTGAGACAGAGTGTCCTGGATACTCTATATGTATATGCTGGGAAACTTCTTTTTGTTTGTTTGTTTGTTTGTTTGCTTTATTTGCACATGAAAACGGTGTACATAATGTAAGAAAAAAGAATATATCACATACATAAATTTCATTGTATGAAAGGAAAGTATGGAAATGGAAAGTATGATCAACTGATGCAATTCATGCAAATTGGAACCATATTTGCATAAACAGGGAGAATAATCTATAATTCGTCAGTCATAAAGGTTAACATCACCTGGCGAAGGTATGAGGTCGCGGAACTCTTGTTTATTCTCCAAGACGTTTCCCTTTTTATAACTTTGTTTTCATTGCTTGACTTTCTCTAGCTTGATGCATCACTTAGTTCTACATCAAAGTGAGAAGAAGGGAATACTGGTTTTACTGTGGTGAGTTGATCATATTCTTTTTAAACTTGTCGCATTATTGTTAGATTTTTCTGAAAGCCTTAAAATGGTTTGTACACACTACCCTCAGGTATCCTCCACCACTGAGCAGTGATGCACCCGAAGAGGATCTGAAGTCAGAAACAGCTATGTAATAAAGTCAAAAGTTTCATGCGATAGCGATACGGTGCACGTGCAAACTCGTTTAGCACTGTATTTTACTTTTTCTGTAATTTTTTTTGTTTTCTATAACAGTAACCATACATACAAAATGTACTTTTTAATTTGAACATAACGCACGACTCATTTACCTTGCTGAATGTTTATGATATAATCTGTCTCATTTTGTTACAATATTGGTTTTGTGCGACCCGCGGCCTACTCAGTACTAAGATGTTGTTAAATCATCTGATAGATGCCTCAATAATTAGGAATTAAACCATTTATCAGTATTTTAACTTTTGAGTTAAATGTCCTGCTATTGGGATACAATAAAACATCATTTTACTAGTTTCGCTTTCTTAGTTTTACTAGTTAAGATTGGTTTATTGTTTCGATACATAGCAATACACATAAAATACATTGCAGCCACTTGTACATGCTAGTAGTACAAGTCGCTGAATTATGCATATTAGGCAGATACAATAATCAGACAATTGAATAATCAGACAATAATCACAATAATATCTATCACACAATGACGGGTTAGCTGACGTTGTTCAGAAGCGTAGTGAAGTATGGGATGGGGCTGTTCTTATATCTGTTGGATCTTGCCATCGGAATGCAGAATCTCTGTTATTTACATCTTTCCGTAGCGGGGGCAACCAGTTTCTAAACGTCGGTGAATTCAACAAAGATTTGGCAAATTTAAGGCTTGGCGATTCTCTTCTGGATTTTAAGGTACAGAGGCCAAAATGGGAAAGGGCTTCATCATAACATGAGTATTGAGGGCCTAAAATTATTCTTAGCGCACGTTTCTGTATTCGTTCTAATTTTTCAGATTTTAGTTTGCGGTTGAAAGAATACATCTCTATTGTTTGACGTACTCATATGGCAATGGGTCTTTTTCTGATATACTGATTTTCATTTTGTTTCCACGGCAATAACACGTGGTTCGTTGGCATATGTAAAGATTTTTTTTTTGCATTTTTGCATGTCAGGCGGCCACTGATTGGTGAATGCTAATGAATCTTCCAGCCAATCACCAGCCAGCATATATTTCACACTTCTACAAAATTTTGGATCGTCCAACACTCAGCAGTCATACACCTAAAGAGGATCGGAAGTCAGAGACAACTATGTAATAAAGTCAAGATTTTCATGCGATAGCGATACGGTGCAAACTTAGCACTGTTTTTTTTCTCTATTTTTTTTTCATTTTTTTCTATAACAATAACCGTGTATTACCATGCATACAAAATATATTTTTGAATTTCAACATAATGCATGATTTATTTACATTGGCGTAGGCAAGAAAACAACCATCCGACGATTTAACCAAATCTTAGTACGGAGTAGGCCGCACATCGCACAAAAACAGGATTCTAGCAAAAAGACAAAAATTATATTCTAAACATTCAGCATGGTTGCGTTGATGATTAGGAATTAAACCATTTATCAGTATTTTTACTTTTCAGTTAAATTTCCTACTGAAAACATCCTCTTACTAGTTTTGATACGTTCCGTCTGAAATAAGTTTATGGAAATGACTCGTTTTTTTCACTGCAAGCATCTCTAGTGTGTGACATACTCCATATGGCAATGGGTCTTTTTCTGATTTACTGATTTCCACTTTTAACTAACTTAACTCAAGAAACACATAACGAATTTGAATTCGTTATCATTTACCACCTGATCACCTATATAAATCAGTCCTGTATTTTTGTATGTAAAGTATCGTTTTTTATTCAGATCATTCTTCATGTGTAGAAATTTATATAAAACAAGGTAAATCGTAGATTTCATGCCTCCGGGGTTTTATATTGTTTTGGGTGTACATTTTTATGTTTGTACTGTACAGTCAAAGGTAGAAATGTGGTTTATGTTATGTTTTAGTGTTAGTTGTATCGTTCGTTGTGTATTGGTTTGGGTTTTTACAGAACGTCACACAGCTAATAATCTGGGTCAAACGGGCGGGTCAAACGGGCGCGTCAACTTGTTAGGGCGATGCCCGGCGGGGTGCGATACATCTTTAGCAGTGAAGCAGAGAAAAGTTAACAAACAACCATAGCAGTGGGTCTTTCTTGTACGTTGTTGTGTGACCGTCAGGTGGTGTATAAATACGTACGTGATTTCATTCTTTGACATCTATAAATACGTACGTGATTGTAGGAATACGATTTCTAATGTGATTAGAATATGTAGAGAAATAACATTCAAATGTAGCGAAATGACTTCTGCTATGTAGCGAAATGACCCCTGCCCATGTAACGAATCGACTTACCATGTAGCGAAACGTTGAAATGTTGAGTGAATCCTGACGTCACAGTTTCCATGCTGCCATCTCCAAACGCAACGTTGAATGTTGTTTTGATACATTTTTAAACGCACCTAAACATTGTAGAATACAACTACATTATACCTGATGTTTTCATAAAGAATGATGATGACGTTAAAATGTGCACATAGATAAAGGTGAATTTTAAAATGTTTTGCACTCTTTTTGTGTATGTGCGCTCACAATGGCGGGTAGAATTTATACGCACTTCCGCCGCGTGAGAAAACAAGCTGACGCCGCTGTTCAACAATGTATTTCGCCACAGATTTACACTGCAAAGAAAACCGTTTAATTTACGTTTGATTTAGCTTGTATTTACTCTACTACCGGCGCAATCGGCGCAGCATGAGTATTAGGCAACAGAAGGCGTTGGGAGATTCCATTGTTGCATGGGGGTATAGAATGTTGGAGCACTTAATTAACATTTTAGGCAGGGGTGATTTAGGAACAGCCCTTTTGTGCGGGAGGGGGATAGGTCCATTTCTGGGTTTGCTCCTATAGCAGATATAGTTGTGAGCTATTTTTGGTATCTTGAAAGGGTGTTAGAGATGTCACCGTACAACGAGTAAACGGCACAAAACACAACAGGATGTGAGCCTAAATTATCGGCTACCAAATCCTCCTCCTGTCAGTTTGACATCACTGTTGCCAAAACTGTATCTAACGATTGGGTCTTTTACCCTCGGTATAATTTCCAGAATTTGATAAGAACGACCCCCCCCCCTACAAGCCCAAAATGTAACGTTTTTTCTTTAATAGTACCATCTCCCGGCGGCAGTGGAACCAATAGGGGCTGCACGAGCTAGCTCCATGGAGGAGCTCTGCAGAGCTCCTCCATGGAGGTTGCTCGTTCAGCCCTCAGCTCTGCAGAGCTCCTCCATGGAGGTTGCTCGTGCAGCCCTCCGCGATACCCCCGCAGAGCTCTGCGCCCTAACAAGTCAATTCTTTGGTTGGCGTCACGGGTTCTGTTTTGTATAGAGCTCTGTAGATATCAAGTCAATTCAATGTGAGTAGTAGGCGATATACAGCCAGTACTGTGTCACAAATAAAGACTTCGTCACGCAACTCTGCGCAACACG